TTCTCGGGTCCAGCAGCAGCTTCGGCTCGCGTGCTTCCGACCCGACCCTTGGTGCGGGTCCATCGTGGCCACCGGAGCCCACGTCGCCTCTTCGAGGGCTTCGTGGCGAAGCAGCACCTAAATTGGGACGGGGTTACCTCCGGATGGGCAGGTACTCCTTTCAGGGGTGCCCGTCCTTCTCGTTGGGCTGCCGCTCCCCGGTGGCGTCCGTGAGTTCCTATGATGCTCTGTGTGCTGCCCTAGTATATACTGCGGGCTCATCTGAGCTTGCTATGAATGCTGGGCCGCGGGGTATCTGGGGCGGCGGCGTCATCACCCGATCGGCGTCGTGGCTTTGTCTCTTCGGAGGCCTGGCACGTCGTCGATCACCCCGGCCTGACTCCTTGCTTCCAAGCTGGAGGAGGGCTGGTCAATGGCCAAACCCTATGGAGGACTCGGCCGTTACCCAGAAGGTCAGTGGGGCGGTGAAAGACCAGGCCGTAACCCAGAAGGTCAGTGGGGCGGTACCTGAGCCAGACCCGGCGAGAAAGGAGAGCCGGGCTCAAGGTCAAGTGGGATGGACAAATGTAGCACATATCATAGCCCACCAGTAGTGTAGTTCTCGGGGATAGCGCAGGCCTCTTCGTGGCCCTCGGGACTAGTACCCGCCTCGTGCTGGGGAAGCCAACTGCGCTTACTCTTGTACCCTTGTAGTTTGAAGTGTAGTAACAAATGCATTTTGTTTTCGATCATTTTTGAGTGCAATGAGAATGGCTAAGGCGACATTCACCTTCAATGTTTCTCTGATCTCGGTAGACAAGCACAACTGTTATACTAGCTCCTCAACCATGTCGTCTTCAAGAGATAGCTGCTAACAAGGGTGCTGAAGGCGAGAGCCTAAGTCGAGCACTCCTCTTTTCATAAGGTCCCCTAAGTATGGTATTTCCGTCTCTATTAGCTAGGCCCACAAGCAAGACGGCTCGCGCGGGCAAGAACACGACCCAGCAGACTACGTCGTCGCTGCCAAAACACCATCATTGACGGAGGCTGACTGCAACACGTCATACTTGGTTCACTAGCTGTGGACCCCAACGACGTGGTGGAAGTACCCGGCGCTGCCAAAGGAGTTTCTGCACCACGCGATGGCTCGGCGCTGTCGTTCTGACCACCTTCAACGTCTGCACTACTATCGCAAGGGCCTGCGGCGTCCGTGGATGAGGATGACGGCTGTCCGGACGCCTGAGCAGTGGCGCTGTTTTTACTCCCTGCCGGCGACGCAGCGCACGCGCATTGACCTGCGCTCAATATCGTCGGGGCGCTAACCGCTACCGTCGACATCGAGGAAGAATCCGAATGCTAAGCAGCCACGCCGTCAAGATTCGGAGGAACTGCCGCCGCCGTCCTCACGGCCAGTGGATACCAGTTTTGCGACTCGGTCCACCTGGGAAGACGCACGGCTCAGTCATCCCATAAATCCACGTCAGATTCAGTGGTTGGCAGGCACCCCGTCGCGAGACGCACGTTGACCATTAGGCCGGGGCTCGTGGGGTGGTACGCCCCCGGGAGGCTAATGGTGGTGTTGGGCACGCCGTTGCCTTCGCACGCAACCTCGTTCGAACGCAAACGGGGGAAGACTCGGTCCCTCCTTTCGTCACCAACGTGTGCAGCGCGATGATCTACCAGCGAGGTTGAGCGTGATCGTGGTACGGGGACACAAGGGGCGCACTTACATCCCACTTGACGAGATATTGACCAGGCTTGATACTCGGTGGGAGGCGCGTTGCGTGCGGCTTTCCGTCGTCTGCGCGCGCGCGCGCGCGTTTGTCAAGTCCGGGTCAGCGACTCGGTGGTGGGGAAAGCGGGGGCCCGGGCCAAAGACTCACAGAGATCCTTCCGCCACCACTCGTCCGCGCTCTTCTTGAGCCTGGTTAGGCCGATATTGAACCATTCCCCACTCGCAGGGGCGAGCTGATTGCATGTGGTACCCGTTCACGGTGTGAGATACGTTATGAGCGGGCTTATTTCGTGCGGCCACTACGTGTCGCAACGTACTGTCGCAGAATCAGCTATATTCTTTGATAAACGATACCTGACGTAGTGGGACGCGCGGACCCATGTTCGCTGCTGAGCTGTTGGAAAATTAAGGGATCCGCGCCGTGAATTCAAGGGTGTTACCTCTGGCAAGGTGAAAGAAAAACCATCAGCAACACAAATGAGTAGGAATCGATACCTAATAGTACAGATTTTAATGAAGTCCTGGAAGATAGAGTTATCAAATGCTATTGAGAGAAGGCTGCTGCCAACTGCGTTGTGATGTGCCGAGTTGTATATCGACGGATAAGGTCATACGAGTTCCACCTCGCCTCGTAGTAATAGCTGCTCTATAACGCCATAGGGTACCAGGGATATTTGTCCCTTCTGCATCTCTGAAACAGTCCCACTTCGCATCATGCATCAGTCGATCCTACTCCGCGCAGAGCATACGAGCAACGTACTCGGGTAATCGCACAGGCGGACAGTCCTGTAGTGCATGCGCAAAAACAGGTCGTGATAGATCGGGCGACGCGACTCAAGGTTGTAGACATCAGCTTGCTGTGTGCAACATTGATAGGCCGGGACGCACTCATTGGGGGCATGAACGCCATCTCCTCGTCAAGAGACCTTTGTTGCTCGGGTAAACTCTGCAGGACGGATTGGTCAAAATGATATTCTACCAAACGACCGTATCTGACAGCGTCCAGTTAGAGCGTGCAAACCAGGAACACGGGATGGGAGGCGGACCTTCGTGCATGAACAAGCTCTGCTTTGGATAGCTTCCCGTGCATTTCTGGAGTGACACTGATGTGCCGCGCGTACTTTTCGATCTAAACAAAGCTTCTCAACAAGAGATCTCCGCGACGTTTCGCTTCAGAATCGTACCTTGTGTAACCTGGTGCGTATGTAAGACCGGATGACAAACTTGACGCGCTCGACCTCAGTCTGCACGAGCATTATTCGAAAATGCTCTTCCTCCGACGAGTCGGGATCGGCGCGCAAGAGCTCTACGTCGTTAGACTAGAGCTAAATACCGTTAGCAACATCTCACCAACGTCCGTCCGCCTAGCCACATGCGCGGAAGCGTTCCGCTCACCTGTTTCCTGATATGGTCCAGCAGTCGCCCGAGGAGCATCTCTTGGCCGGGGAGGATGTCCGGTGCATGTCTTTCGTTCATCCAATGGCGGATGAGTTGTTGAAAGGGAGTCTCTTCGGCTATGTCCTGCGGAAGGATCGCTTGACGAAAGTCGCCTCCGATGGAGAAGTCGTCGTCTTCTGGAGCGTCGCGGGCGCGATCGACGAAGGAAGGCCCAGCCATGGGCGCGTCAAAATCATCATCCCAGCCGGTGGCCATGCGTGCCGACGATAAATGAGGGACTGTAGGAGCGAGGGGAACGGTGGTAGTGGTGGTAGAAGGGAGAGGAGACGCGTCGGAACGCGAGCGTGTGGTGGCGCGTGTAGGCGTGTAAGCGCCCAAGCGTCTGGCTAACGCCACCCGCAGGGGCCCGCATATACTAACATGGTCGACTCTACTCGCTACGTATGTTATAAGCGTGCTATGCACACACCTATGCCTGGGTAATCGGGCCAACAAGTACTATGGGCGATGCAAATAGAACTTTTGCTCCCAACTTCGACGCTTGCGCGCAACTAGTTTGGAATACACCGGACTCGCGTGAGAGCTCGCAATACAAACATAAAAGCAGACTCGAATACCAAGAACAGGGCAAACAATACTCGTACATACAACACTGATTCTCCAGCAGCCTTCGAGCCCCAACCTACCCCTCCCAATCGTCGTCGTCTTCGTCTCGTCGCGAGCGTTCTCCCTCGTGCGCCTCATCTTCGTCCTCTTCCCGGCCCTCGTCCACCTCCATCTCGCGCTCCTCTTCCTTCTCCTCGCCCTTCTCCTTCCCCGCCGCCTTCTTCCTCCGCCGCTTTGGCGCGGGCTTCTCGCCGCCATTCGCGTCGCCGGCCGCCTTCTTGTCCTTGCCCTTCCCGCGCTTCTTCGCGCGCGCCTCCGCGTTCTCCGCCTCGATGTCGATGGTGCCCCCCGCGGACGGGTCGGGCACGGCCTGCACGATCTCCTTGAGGAAGTCGAGCATCTCGACCGTGTCGATCGCATGCTTCCTAGAAACCATGCAGGCGCGCGAAAGGGGGAGCGCGAAGAGGGACGCGCGAGACGTGAGACGCGCATCAGGAAAGGAACGCTCGCGGAGACAGCAGCAGCTACGCACAGGTGGTACGCCTCGACCCGCTTCGAGCCGCGGTCGACAGTGACATTGCTAGCCTCCTCCACTATCATCGCGAGGAAGAGCTCCAGGGCCTTGGCTGCGCGCATGGGGAAACATAGCGGCGACGTGAATGCCACACGAGTCAACGGGGATTGCACGAAGGGACAAGGAAAGAGTCTCCGGTCAGTGATGAATTGTAGGGTGCAGCGAAAGCACAGTACTCACATATAACGACTGGTGTGGCCTGTGCGACCTTGCCCACCTCCTCGTCCTTCTGCATGATGCGTTTGATGCGAGCCTGGATGGCGTCCCATTATCCATAATCACGACGCGTAGTGATGCCCCGGCGAGATGAAGTGAAGAATGCGGCGCGAGCGGAGGTGTTCCCGAAGGGTATAGAAAAAGCCAGTATGTTACGAGAACGCATGGACGAGGGGGCCTGTTTAAAGTGAGCATGAGGACAAGAATATAGAAGGACATACGACCGGAAACTTGGTGGTCTTGTTCTTGTTCTTCATAGTAATGAGGTGACTTTTGGCCTGTAAGGTAGAATTGATTAAGGCGAGCGCGGCAGTAAGCGGTAACCCAGAGTATGTACCAAGAAAGTCTGACGGTTAGAAAGTAATGGACTCAGGAAGACGGTGGTGGCTCAAGTACAACCATGGTCGGACCTGGTCTTAGTATAAGTACTCAAATGCTCGAAGGGGGGAGTATCTTTACACACATAATATATATACCATTCCTTTAAGTAAGACACCGATGGTGAAGTGGTTATCATGCTTGCCTTCCATTGAGTTAGCAAGCGGCACGGGTTCGATTCCCGTTCGGTGTATGTTTTTGTCTTCCTGCGAAAATGTAATCCGCCAAACGCCCTTTACGAGACCCAAGTGTGGACCGTGTGGTAGCCACTGGCCAGAGTCGAGGCCAAGCGGCCGACCAGGACCTCATCGCCAAAACCCTCGTCGTCGACCCCTCTCACCTCCCTCCACGCAAGCCTCTTGCCAGACCTTCCAGTCCAAACCGGCCATATACTTCATGGGACTGACTGAAACGTCCTCTAGGCGCAAACCGCACGCGCCGAAGCGGCGGAAGCTCACCCGCTCGGTGCAGTCCGCCCTGCTCTCTGCCTCCCCGTCGTTTTCTTCGCCCGTCGACATCAAGGTGCCGGTTTGCACGTCCTGCCACCGCTCTTTTACAGGCGCGCGCCGGTGCCAGCTCGTACAATGCGCTCGGTACGTCCTGTCCCACACCGTCCCTCCACCGCCCTTCCCCGAGGCCCAGGGTTCGCTATACCTTGCCTGCCGGCCAGCAGAGTGGGCAGCAGGCTTTCAGGAGTAAACCGCAAGTGGCGATATGCTGACTACACCGATCTATCCCCACGCAGGTGCCACGAGCCGACGTGCACGATCTGCTCGCGGACGTGCAACGGCTGCCCACCGTCGGTTCCGCCGACGCCCGCGCTCACGACCTCGTCGAGCTTCTCGGACGATGTGGCGCTGCCGCCATCGCCCCGCCGACCCACAGCCGTGCTTGGGGCGAGCATGGCAAATGCACAGGGTCCCGCGGCAGGCCCGCCACCGCACGCTGTGGCTGGACGCAGGAGGAAGGCGCGCGAGTTCGACCGGGACGGGGAGGGCGCGGACATGTGCAGGGATGAAGGATGGGGCGATACGACGGAGGATGTTGGGGACGTCCTGCCGGGGTGTGGGCGAGTCGTGTGTCAGCGGTGTTCGTTCGAAACCCCACAGAGGTGCGTCGTTCCTGCTATATCTCTTGTCGCTCGGGCAGGTTACCTTATATGCGGCTTGGATTTAACAGCGACCTCACGACGTGCCTCGACTGTGCCGCTCGATGCAGGGGCTTGGATTAGGGTTTCGGCCCCCCCTTTCTCCCGGTTTGAATGCTCCCGCCCGTTCATCAAGACTCGCCTTCCCACAACGCTCTATTTTGCTCTGCACATCATCGTATCCCCGCATCCACGTTCCACGCATCTCAGGCATCTTTTTATTCCCCTCTAGCAGTTCGATCTATGCTATCAACGATATTCATCATTCCGATCTATACAGCACATAACCCTTAATGTTCCCCTGTACACGTAGAATTATGTCAACACATCATTGCTTGCAACTCTGTATATCTTTATCTCGTCTATTAAGCACGACCCTCGCGGGTCCTACGCGCTCCCCTGCTGCTATCGTTGACGTATTACTAACCACTTATTAGGTCCGTACGGCAGTAGCACGAGGCTCACGCGCATGGCATGAAGCAAAGGACTTGCTTTTCAATCCAATTGAGGTGCGTTACAGACTTAGCTAGCCCTTCGTCAGATTCAAGTTGACCTTTATTCTGTTATGTGTAGTTTATCGAGAGTGAAAGACGAACACCCGAAGTTAGACGCATAAACAAATGTAGAAAACTTGGCATCCTTGCCACCCATACGGCTCAAACGAATATAACGCGGTACAATTCCTATACCGTACACAACGATGTTGTTATAGCCCTTTGGGTTATTCTGTCGACATATCCGGGATATATCTGGAGGATGGCTGCGTTTCCCTCACCGCGATCGCGATCACGTGCATCGTGACCCACGCGCGTGGTCCGCGCGCCGATCGCGTTTCGCACGCGTCATCGCGGGCCTTGGCAAGCTTTGCCTTCGACCACCATCTCCCCCCATGGATGGTTCGCTGGATCTCGTCGGAGAGCCTTTCGCCGTGATAGAATCGGACCCCGGTCAGTCAGCCGTCGCATAATGAGCGCGCTGCTCAAGCCAATCGTTTATTCAGGTGTTTTCACCACCCTCATCCAGAAATTGGGCGTCAGTGGATTGGAGGTCATCGAGCTTTACGGTATCGAGCCGTGTGACACCGACCACCTCAACCCTTACGGCCTGATATTTTGCTACCTCTGCGACAGCAATCCCGACCCGGCGGACCCTCTCAGCGCTGAAGTCGAGCTCGAAGATACAGACGCACGTCCTATTTGGTTTGCGAACCAGCTCAGCAATGATGCTTGCGCATCGCTCGCCATTCTCAACGTCTTGCTGAATTGCAACAACGTTGAACTAGGTCCAGATCTCGAGGAATTCGCCGCCGATACTCACGAGATGTCTTCCGTGGTAGGTGGTCTTCCTACATGTCCGACCTCGCCTTTTGCCGCTCCCAACAGTGCCCTGAACTGGGCGGAGACGTGATAGTTTATCAGAACGAACGATATTTCGAGCCCCTCTTCCGTCTTTTGCCGGATCTTCAACGTCAAGTGTAAAGACTGTCCAACCTTACGAGTCCTTCATGGGCTTCTCTGGGCACGCATCCGACCCCGTCGTGAACAGTCAAGTGTGTAACGTAACTCGACTTACACGCTGTACATACAGATGAGGGGACTTGCCTTCTCCAACCGAGCATCTATACGAGAAGCACAGAATTCCCTGGCTCGGTGAGCGTAACTCACTTTACCCTGTTCCTATTATTCGTACGTTCACACTAAGTTCCTCTCGCCAGGCCCGCAGACATTCGCGGAGCCCTTCACGCGCTCGCATCCTCGGCGCTCGACTCAGCGAAAACCAAAGCCAAAGCGACATCTTCCCCTCCCGCCAAACGACGCAAGACATCCGCCGCCGCTTCCTCTTCCCGCACGAAGCGCAAGGCCGCCTCCGCCCGCGCAGACGAGAAGCTCGACGCCTACCACTACATTGGCTACGTGCCTGCCCGTGGACGCGTCTGGGAACTCAACGGCCTCCGCGCAGCTGGCCCGCTCGACGTGGGCCCAATCGATTCCGACGCCGACGCGGGCTCGCGCGCGGGGTGGATGGACGTCGTCCGCCCCGCGCTGCAGCGGCGCATGCAGACCGTCCTGCAGAGCGGCGCCGAGCACATCCAGTACAACCTGCTCGCGATCGTGGACGACCCATATACACGCGCGAGCGATGTGCTCGAGATGCTCAAGCGTGAGCGCGCGGCGCTAGAGCGACGTCTCGGGGAGGCCTTCCCAGACGGCTGGGCGGACAAGGTGAGCTTACCCCCTGCAAGCACCAAATATACCAAGGCGCCCGGCAAGCACGAAGCCGTACACCCGCCGCTGGCTACACAGCGCAGGGCTGGGTCGCCGGTCACCGCCAACGTCCGCCCATGCATGCTGACGGCGGCGTTTCCCGCAGGTGGACCCCACGCTGCTCGCCTCCGCGCCCTCGGCGTTCTCCACCGCGCTTCGCCCTGACGGGCGGCGCCCTGGGCGGGTGTATGCGCCCGACTTTGGCGCGCGCAAGATGGAGCGCGACATGACGGTCCTGGACATGCCCGTGCGCCGGCTCGCGCCTGCGTGGGATGCGTGCGTGCGTGCAGCGCTCGAGGCGAAGGTGGCTGTCGAGGAGGAGATCGAGAAGTCGTGCAGAGCCCAGGTACGTCACCCTCGAGACGTCACGAATCTCTCAGGGCCGTTCGTGTACCGCGTTCTTAGATGTTTCTGGTTATTCCCGGAGCCTGGGCGCTTGCCAAAACGGACTTAGACGTGAGCGCAGGCTCGTGAGGGGGCCCCTCACGGATGTCAGTGCGGGCCTGTCGCTTTTGGTGTCCTGGGCCACTTGTGCTCGTATGTGGTGCAAAGGCTCTCAGGCTATCGGATTGTCGTTAAGCACCTGTTGGATGAGAATAGCGCGTGCAGACTTTGCTTGAATGAACCCGGCGGCGGTACAGGTACTCCCGGGCGTGTAGGGGGTACGTGGACCGTTCGCGGGTTTGGGCTCGTATCCAAGCCCGCGTTTAGCGTGTCCGTGTCCGAAGTCGTGTGGAGATACGCCTTGACGAAGAATGACTCGCGTATGAATGTCAATCACGCAAACCACCCACAGGACGGCGTTCAGTTTCCGTTGTGGTCATTTGGGAGTCACCGTAAAAAGGGCAGGCACCTGAAGCGACTTCTCATACCTTTGGTATGGATGGCCTTGAGGATTTATCAGATTACGTTGGCTGCCATCGAATCAAAACCTTGTATCCGGACACAGCGCATGAATATGGGCCTACAAAATGTGCAATGACATGTCCTAAAAGTGGAAGTCAGTTTAGGGTGCCATGGTTTAGAGAAAAAAGGCTGTATATCCGGGTTTTTTTCTTGTCGTCAGAAAAAGGTTTTCCTGTCTTGACATAGTGTGATCCGGGGCCGCAGGAGCTATGAATGAATTGACTGTTTCCCCATGGCGGAACAAGGGACGGAGGCTGACGTCCATTCATTTTTGTACAGGCGGACCACGTCAGACGGACCTTCGACTATGAGCCCTTCATTAAAGAGTTCATTACTTCCCTGGAACACGAAGGCCTATTGGACGCCGCGCTCAAGAACGAAACTGCACCCGGCCCGCCCGCGAAGCCGGCTGCGAAGACGAAGCGCAAGTGACCTATACCCTGCCCTTCCTGCGAATGGTGAGTGGGACGGTACCTCGAGCGCGAGCACGTTGGAAGCTGACCGCCTTCCGCTTGCGGCGTCGTTCTGCAGGATAGGTGCACGCCGGACCCCGATGCGGGCGAGCGAGAGAACGGCCCTGGCCTCGCCGGGGCGTCGTGGCGCGTGCGCATGACAACGTTGACGTCTGCGCCCCTCCCGCCTCACGGCTGGGGGAGCAGCTCCTATCGATCCTCCTATCGCATTCAGTCGGGCGCAATGGTGGACGGCCGTACGCAAGTTTATTTTGGGGGGGCATGTCTTTAACTCCGTAGGCTCGGGCCCGCAGTTGGAGCGTTCTCACTTGCGGCGCCAGAGGGGCGGCCTGGAGGATTCCTCTCGATGGAGCTGGTTAGCTGGGACGATGTTGTCAAATCGTCGTAGGAACTCATGAAGGCG